CCTCCGCCTGTTCCCCCGCCCCGCTTTTATACCTGTCCCCCACTCCCCCCGGGGCGTGGGGAGCCGCCCCCGCAGGCAGAGCCAGCCCCAGCCAGGGGCGCATCCTCCCCGGGCGAAGGATGCGCGGCTGCCCTCGGGAAAGCGCTCCGGGAGCGGGCACAGAACACGGGGGGCTCCGCTTCGAACACTCCCGACCCCCCCTGCCCGTTTCCTGGTGGCCGGGAAGCTGCTCCGCACCTGTTTCCTGCAGCGTTCTCCATCCCCGGATTTTCTGGCTCGGGCTCTCCGAGGGGGTTTTTGCAGGACAGAGCACCGGGATCGGTGCTTTCGTTAAAATAAGAGATTAGTGGGTTTTTATGTATTTCAAACCTAGACCCGCTCTTGGGAGCTCAGTTAGAGAAGCTCCTTCTGAAATCAGTATTTTAAATAGAGGAAAATCCTTTAAAACATCACGAGCACAGCCCACTCCAGGTCACCAGCAGTCAGGGATCTCAGTGTTGGAGCTGAGCTCAGGCCATGGCTTTGTAGCCTGGGGCACGTCTGTGAAACAGGAACAGCCTTTGTGACATTTCCTGGCCCTTTCAGAAATATGGAAACACTTTGTCAACTGGTCTTTTCCCTGACTTTCAGAATTCCAACCTGAATTAAAGCAAGATTAAGGAAAATGTCGAAGCTTCCACCTCCTTCTCTTAATATTTAGAAAAAAAAAAAAAGAAAAATATATAGAAAGTAAATACAGAACAAAAGCAGCAGGCTTTCAGCCTTTTAATGTCCATATCTTAATATATATTAGTATAGGATAAAACTGAGTAGTCATTGCAATAATAATGACAATAATATCCAGAACATCTTTCCCCCCTCCTCCAGATAGGACCTGACTATTTAGACTGAGGGAAATAAAAAGCAGACCCAGCTTTAAATGCATAGAATTTGGGCAGAGCAGATAGTCTGGGTTCAGCATTTTAATAAACTTTGAGAAGAGGAGGTACTTCACATGAACCAACTTAAAAGCTTAAATAAGGAGGAAGAAGAAAGGAGGCTTTTATGTCTAAAATGAATACGTCATTTCTGAAAGGGTCCTTTGAAATCTTGTTTTCCAAGTTATTTCTCAAATCACTGCACTCATCAGCTTTAAAATTTCAGTTCTACTCTCTACAATTGAGCAATGAAATTGTATTAATTCAGATATATAGTTCTTCAGAAGGACAGATGTTTAACCTTCAACTCATTTATCGCTGCTTTGTATCTTGGGAGTTGCAGCAGAAGGAAAGAAGAGCATTAATTTAATTCAACCCTCTTACTCCTAGATTTTATTCTCCTGATAAACATCCGGCCAGGCCAAGGAAAACCACTGTATGTCAGTAAATCTGGAGTTCAATACTGATAATAGTAAAAATCCCTACATGGAGTTCTTCCTTTGATTGCTCAAATTAAGTTTCTGAGAGCTTTTTAGGGAGCAGAGCAGCCAGTTTCATAACTTTGTTATAAACTGAGTTTTAGTGTTTTCAGGGGATAAAAACCTCGAGACAGCCATGAAAAAATCAACCAACCAACAGTGGCCAGGCTGTGAAGATCCCTTTGGCACATGGAACTGAGAAATTCAGACACCATCTCTTATCCTTGTGGTTTTGGGGTTGAAAATTGTCCAATAACTATATTTAGCTGGCCTAAACTTCATTTACCTCATACACTTTTTGCTTCCTGCTGTCTGGGCTGGACTTTCAGTGTCCCACAGCCTACAGGATCCTCCTTGCTTAGGGAATTTGTTGGATAATCCCCTGTCCCTGCACCACTGTGGAGACAACAGAGCTTCCAGGATGCAGGAACAGCACGTCTGGATCAAGCCTGAAGTCTGGATTTGAGCACTGTGTGACACCTATGGCTGATAATAATCTGAACATTATTCTTATTTCACTCAGTGCATTTCTTTTAGACTTATGTGAGGCTTGTAGTTGTACAAAGTGATTTATTCAGTGCAATCAATCAGTCATCTCTATGGCTGCAAACCCTGGCTCTCATCTATTGTTACTGATTTAAAAAAAAAAATAAAAAATTAAAGAAGAATGTAAGATTCAGGGAACTGCTGGCTCCAGCCAGAATTCAGAAAGCAGACTAATTGATGGTAATGGATGGGATGCCTTTTGGAATTGTTAATAGGGAAAGGAGGGTTTGCTGACTTGCAGGAAAGACTTGCAGAGCTCAGCACCTCTCTGCACCTCTCGCAGATTGCTCTTGTCTGGCCTGCTTCCCACCCCCAGGCTGCAGGCTTTTCAGTAAAAACGGGGAAGACTTGACTAAAATTAGAAAAAAAAAAAAAAAGAAAGAAAGGAAGAAAAAAAAATTGCAGAGTCAGGCTGGAAATGTTATCCCAGAACTTCGTGGTGGTTGTCTTAGTTTCCTTTGCCCGTGTGAATTGTACTGAGGTCTGGGGGGAACGCTGATTTTCCAGAGGCTCCAGCAGAAGTTTCTGCCTTCGGGACTTTTTCACTCAGGTTCAGGCTCAAGCCCCCAAAGAGTTGCCACCACAGGCCTCAAATTATTTGTTCAAGGGGAATAAATGGAGGTAAATGTGAGAACAGAGGACCTGGACTGTGAGAGAGGAGCAGGGTCAGGATGGGAGCTGAGGGCTGCCAAGGGGGAGGAGAAAACCCCCTTTATTTTGTCCTCCTGGTTTCCAGTGTCCTGTGAGCAAACCAGTGCATCCCCCAGTACACCTGGGGTCTCCTGCTGGGACAGGGATCCAGCACTTTCCCCTTGCCTGAGTCCCTGTCCTGCTGATCCCTCTGCAAGGAGGTCAGCCTGCCTCGTGCCACCGGAATTCCCACGTGCCCCATTTCCACGGAGATGATCCTGCACACCTTTTTACCTGGCTGTGTGGCTAGTGATTGTTGCTTTGGGCAATCAGCTAACTACACTGCCTGGCAACCAGGCTGATGGAAAGCCTTCCAACCCCTACTTGGATGAAAACTGGGATTTTTGTTTTAAAAAAAAAAACAACCCTCCCACAGCAGGTTCCAGCACTATTATTGAAATTCCTGAAGGTTAAGCCAAGTGGTCAGAGTAAAAATCACTTATCCATCCAGCGAGTTTAATATTTAATCATTGCTTAAACCCCCCCCCTTCACTTACTGGGTTGTTAAATAAAACATGAAAAGTATATACAAATTTTTTTCCCAATACCTGAAGGATGCAACCAAGATAAATTCTTAGTCCAGTCTTGGGGCATAAGCAATTAAGATAATCAATTTAAACACAACACACAGGTCCAGGAAAGCTCCCAAGGATTTTAGCACCAGCTTCAGGAAAACTAAGATTTCACTTGATACCACCAACATACAATTCTGTTGGACAGGTAAAATTCTGGAAATAAAGCTGCAAATGAATAAATATTACTAATTTTGCACTGGGAGTAAGGGTGAGGAGGATTTGTAGTGCAGTTTTCTGGCCTGAGGTTGGAGCAGGGAATCCTGTGCCTTGTTTTGATGGCAGTGGAGTTAGTGATTGTGGAGCAGGGGGTACAATCAGCTAATTACACTGCCTACAAACCAAGCACTGCTCAGAGGCTCATGGAATTCAAACCTAGAACAAAAAGAAAGCACTGCCAATAATTATATAAACATACTCTTGCTTTTAGAATAACAAGGAATTGACAATAATCAAAACATTGGTCATATCACCCTTATTCTACTAAATACAAAGTCTTTATGCCACAAATTAATTGTGCTTAATAATTAAAACTGCAATGAATGCAACACAAAGATAATTTCAAGAGTGCAAAGACAAAGCAAATACTAAAATATAAATTATTACCCTGCTCCACAATGGAGAAAACCTTGGCATGGAGTCCTTGCTGGGAGCTGTGTCCAGAGGTGGAAAGGCAAATGCAGCTGCAATTTTGGGTCAAGATAAAATAATCAGTGTGAATAACATCACATCTGGTTTGTAGCTGGGCAGTTGGGTTAACGTGCTGTAATTTGGGATTCATGCAATTGCCATTCAAAGGTTTTTGGGATGACAGAATTTCACTAGTTCCCCCCCAAAAAAATACAGGAACACAGATCATGCTGTCAGGAGGCCACTCCAACCTTTTGCACTAATTTGTGGTAGCCAAAGAAATCAGTAAATCTGCTCTGCAGAGCACACTGAGTGTGTGTAAGGAGTGAGAGTCAATTCTGCAAGGAGTAAGAAACAATTCTGCAAGGAGTTAGAATCAATTCTATGAGTGAGAATCAATTCTGCAAGGAGTTAGAATCAATTATGCCCTGTGTCTATCAGATGTGTATGCAATTAATAACGGGATAAAACAATTTTAATGGAGATTTGTCAAGCTAAATAAGGAATGAGACAGAGTCTTGTGAAGTGACAAGGATAAGTTTGCCTGCAAATTAATCAACTTTGCCAGCCTTCACCCATGAACACCTCAGTGTTAAAATGCACAAAAGGAAGTCAGGACTTACCCCCAGGCAGCTTACCTTGCAGTCACCCTGCACTTGGAATGAAATGCTGGAGAAGACGTGATGGAAAGGGAGAAATGGAGAGCTGCTTCCCTCTGGATTCCCCCCCAGAGCCCCCGTGGGTGCTCCTGGCAGACATT